AAATGATCAACATCGGTCACTAACTAAAATAGTGACTGAAATAGTAACCAACCCAAATCGGTCACTATTTCCTTGGTCGTTGATTTCGATTCATCGAATCAGTGATCGATTAAGTCAGATCACTATATTGGTCACTAACAAAAACATTAAAAAATTAAAAATATTAAAACATTAAAAAATTAAAAATATTTTTTTATAACCCCTTTCTATTTTATACCTTTTATAATATATTATTATTTATTATATTTTTTAAAAATTTGAATTATTATTAGATTGAAAGAATTGTTACTTCTAGCAAAATTCGAACCTAGTACCTTAGAGTTAAGAGAGACTGATACACCAACCACTAAGCTACTAGGAATTTTTGATAAAAGTTTATAAATAAATTATATTTATATACAAATAAAAATATATATCCGTGTAAATATATAAATATAAATATATAAATACAAATACATATATATATATATATATATATATATATATATATATATATATATATATATATGTTGAATGTGAGGACGCGTTCGAGGTTGAAAGTATGTCGAGTGGATTTTTAAAATTTGATGTCAAATTTGTGGACGGGTCTCTTTATATGAGTTTATAATTTAATGATACAATATAATCTTTATAATTTATTTATATACTGATATAAAATAATTTTTTTCTTTATTTATTTTTATTTTATTTTAATTTATTCTTCTTATATTTATTCTTCTATTATTTAATTAAAATTCTTATATTAAAATAATTTTTTCAATATTAAAAATAATTAAATATTTATTTTTAAAATTATTTAATTTAACAAATTATTATAAATTAATCTAATTATGATTATTAATAGAACACTTTTTTCCTAACATATATTATTATAAATTAATCAAAATCATCTTTTAATAATTATTTTTTCCAGACATAGATTAATTCATAATAATTTGTTAAATTAAATAATTTTTAAAAATAAATATTTAATTATTTATAATAATGAAAAAATTATTTTAATATAAGAATTTTAATTAAATAATAAAGATAAAAAGAATAAACTAAAATAAAATAAAAATAAATAAAGAAAACAATTGTTTTATATCATTATATAAATAAATTATAAAGATTATATTCTATCATTCAATTACAAATTCATATAAAGAGACTCGCTCACAAATCTGACATCAAATTTTGAAAACTCACTCGACACACACTTTCACCTCTACAGCGTGATCCTCACATCAAACATATAAATATATCAAAATATATAAATATATTTGTATTTATATATTTACACGGATATACATTTATTTGTATATAAATATAATTTATTTGTAATTTTTTATTAAAAAATTCTAACAGTTTAGTGGTTGGAATATTAGTATCCAACTCTAAGATACTGGTTTTGAATATTATTAGTAATAATTTTCTTAATCTGATTAAAATAAGAGAAATTATATATTTTTGTGGAAATTAGAGCAACTAAATTGTTGTTATGGACTAAAACCCAAAAAATAAAAAATAAAAAATATAATTAAATAAAAGAAAAACTATATACTTTTGCATTTTTATTTTCAAATATTAGTTTTTTTATGAAATTATTTTTAATTAAAATAATTAAAGTGATATATATATAATTTTTTTTATTTTAATTTATTAATATTATCAAATTTTAGTTTCATGATTAAAAAAATACCAATAATTTAAATTTTATTAATTCTATAATTTAATATAATTATTATTATAAATTTAATTCTCCAATAACTAATAATATTAACACATTTATTAAATTAAAATTATTTATTTTAATTAATTATTTTGATTTTTTTAACAATTTTTTTAAATAAAAACGATAAAACTTAAAACTAATTTCTAATTAAATCTTTACAGATTTATGATTAATAGTATATTATATTATTATGTTTAATTAAATTTTAAAATAAGTTCACTTAATCTTTACACTTTTATAAAAATACTAATATAAACTTAAAATATTTATCCAATTACTAAATTATTTAAAATATTAATATAAATTTGAAATATCAATTCAATAATTAAAATAATTTTAATTTTTTTATAAATACATTGAAATACATTTTTATTAACATAAAAGTAATATATATATATATATATATATATATATATATATATATATATATCAAAAAGAGACTAAATTAATAATTAATTTAATCATTGATTATATATATATATATATATATATATATATATATATAAAAGAGATTAAATTAATAATTAATTTAATGACTAATTTAATAATTAATTTTAATTTTTTTATTCACATACTAAATTAAAAAATAAAATCAAATAATTATATTACTAAATTATTTAATAAGTTAATAAACTATTTTTTAAATTTTTTATAATGTTATTAAAAAGTTTATCAATTATTTTAAATTATTAAGTAGATTTATATCTAATATATTATTAAAATATTTTTAAAAATTATTTATATAAATAAAAAATGGTTATTAATTTATATATTATTTGTTTAGTGATTGAAATTTTAGTCACTAAATCGAGTCACTATATATAAAAAGAGAAATCAGTCACCGATTTAGTTATTACTAGTAATCTGAATTTTTCAGTCACTAATTTCGATCATTATTAACCATTTTTCTAGTAGTGACTGAATCAATGACTCGATTTGGTGACCGAATCAATGACCGATTTCCGTGACTGAAATTTTAGTCACTAAATCAGTTACTAAATATAAAATGGAAATTAGTCACTAATTCAGTTACTATCAGTGACTGAATTTTCGGTCACTATTAACCATTTTTCTAGTAGTGTTAGTCGCTCCTCTCTCTCAGTCAACACACACCGCAACGTTCTCTCTTGAGGCTTGGTAGATTCTCTCACACTCACCTCACAGACACAAGCTCTAATGCCAATTTGTTGGCAACAAGTAGGCAGAAAGTAAAAATTGACAGTACTTTGTTTTCTTTTAATCTCTCAATATTTCTCCTGCTACGGATTTCAAAAGAATTGTTATAAGTATTCATGGGTAAAATGTTTGTCTCTTCAAATGCCAAAAGTAAATCATGATACCTATTAAATACAACCTATATTTCTTGATTATATCACTCATGCCTAAAACCATTAATACTTTTATAGGAATACCAAACTACTAATTTAAATTTTACAACATAGAAAACCCCAACATAATCCATCGTGGAATTTGATTGCAGAGGCCCTCAGCAAGTATTTATAGACTATTTCTTGGGTTATCTAAAATGACAAGTTGCTGTATTCCTGAAGTGTCAGAATTTAAATATTTCTTTCATATAAAAGTCCTTTCTCATCGGTATATTATTTGTTGTGTGGGGCAACATAAAACAATGGGTTTTCGCATATCAGCTATTGTAAAGCGAGCATCTTTTCCGACAACGCAAGCAGCGTAGAAGAGGGTTGAAGTTCCAAAAGGCTATCTTATGTAGGATATAAGATGAGAAGGTTCCTGATGCCAGTATCATATTTAGACCAACCTTCATTTCAAGAATTGCTGAGTCAAGCAGAAAAAGAATTTGGATATGATCATGCAATGGGTGGTTTGACAATTCCATGGAAGGAGGATGGGTTCCAAAATATTAGACATTTTTGAACACATTTTGCTTTTGCAAATCTTAATAAATTTAGTACTCCCGGTTTTAGTTTATTCTTTTAGAACCACGTAGTAATTTATTACTCGCTCTTCCATTTTCCTAAACAAGTAGCAGTAGAACTATATCTTGGATTATTAGTTGTCTTTTTGCGAAAATGCATGGAATGATTACAACTTATCGCCCCAAATTTCACAATGGTAATAGAATAAGACGCCTCAAACTTTTGTGGATAGAAAATTAGAACTCGTTCCACAGCTTCAATGAATATTAACTAGTTGCTCTATATTTATGCCTTTCCAATCTTTTCTTTTTGATAAATTTAAATCGATGAGTCCGATATTTAACTTCAAAGTCCATCTGTGTATATAATTTTGGGACATATTTTACGATATAAATATCAGTTTGCCGTTATTGTTAGACAGGTTGAGTTAATTTTCATTACACAAAAAAAATCATGTTTTATGATTTTTTTATTCTGTTCCTATTTCCTCTTTCTCACGAAAGGGAGATCTTTACAAGTTGAGAAGAAGTCTAGTGGACAAAATGTCTCCACTAATCTATGTTAGTCTCCTAAAGTGTAAGATTTATTGTCCATTCAAGCAAGAAGTTATATGTTGGAAGACTTCTTCACTGCATGGAATTGTGAGGCCACCCATGGGATGATCATATCCAAACTCTTCCTCTGCTTGACTCAACAGGTGCTGGAATGAAGGTTTGTTCAAGTATGATACAGGGATCATAAATCGCTTCATTTTCTCCCCGACATAGACTGCAAGATATCCCTTTTGTGCATCAGCTGCTTTTGAAGATGTTTGATTTGCTGTAAATATTGCCTTTCTGATACCAGGTAAACGAAAACCCATACTGTACTGATATGTGAAGAGAACGGGTTTAAGAAAAAGTCTTGAGAATAAGTTCTTGAATTTTGAATGCTTTGGGAAGAGAATGATTTGTTGGTCCTAAATGCTTACAGCCATGAGTATATATAGAGAACAGCGATATGCAAGAAAGGATTAATTATTGGTGAAGGATAGTCATAGGACCAAATGAGATATAGCATGTGGTGCTGTCCAGAAGGACTTTCTTAAATAATTGTTTCATAGTGGATAATACATGTCCCACCTTCTTGTTCTATGAAAAAGAAAGACTAATTGTTTCATAGTGGCTCATAATATGATCATGCATTCAATGTTAATTCTTCTCTTATCTCCTCTGTACGTCAAATTCTAAGCAGCACTGCATGACATTTGCATAAATGATGTCTCCGAACCCACCACCTTGATTAAGTTTCACATTAGACTTTCTTTATCATACATCCAGAAGGTGGGACTTGTATTATCTACCATAGCACGTTACATTGATAAGGAAGAGAGTCCTCCTAGACAACACCATATGCCTTGTCTCTCATTTGGTCCCATGGCTCCTATCTCATAACAATCCACCAATAGTTGAAGTAACCAATTAATAACCCCTTTGCATATCCTTTTATCTATAAATATTTAGGGCTACAAGCATTTGGGACAACCACAAACCACATCATCGAAAATTCTAAATCTTATTTTCAAGACTTTCCTTAAACAATGGGTTTTCGTTTATCTTGAATCAGAAAGGCATTATTTGTAGAAAATGAAGCGTCTTCAAAAGCGGTGGATGCACCAAAGGGCTATATTTCGGTATACGTGGGAGAGAAAATGAAGCGATTTGTGATCTCACTGTCGTACTTGAACCAACCTTCATTCCAAGACTTGTTAAGTCAGGTGGAGGAAGAGTTTGGATATGATCATCCCATGGGTGGCCTCACAATTCCTTGCAGCGAAGATGTCTTCCAACGCATAACTTCTTGCTTGAATTGACGATAAATTTCATTCTTTAGGAAGCTGACATAGATTAGAGGAGATTTTGTACAGTATCCGTGTTTTCAACTTGTGAAGACCTTTCTATCTCGAGTAGGAGAAAAAGTATACAGAATGACATACTCACAGTTTATCATATTTCTTTTGAGTTATGACAATGAATTCAACTACTCAATTGGCTCTTTTGCGATTGCGGATTTGCTGTCGATAATTCTTCTGCCATTGTTTCAAAGCAGAACGAGGGAGGGAAGCGTCACCTTCTACACCACTATCGCACGCACGTTATCAGTAGTTCGTTAACAATTACTACAAGCACTTGTTAAATTAAATAAATAAAGTTTACATAAATGCACCACCATAAAATGCATGTATATCATAGGTCACAAGACTAATTTTTCATTTCATCATTAATAGGTACAAATACATGATTCATGTGAGAATACACTGTTTATACAAAAGTGGCAATGGAAATTGAGACTTGTAAAATATGTAAAACTGTATGCAGTCTAGGAATAGTGGTGTTCAAATTTTAGAATTATGCAGTAGGGTAAGATGCTAGCATGGCTATGCCACACAGTCCTTCCTTTGCATCTACACCCCTTTGCATCCTAATGTACCCTTCTTCACCCCACTCTGTTCCCCATGAGTTCTTTACCAGCCAATACTGAGTCCCATTGTTGCTAACACCATAACCCACTGCAGTGACACCGTGATCTAACTCAGTTCCACATGCACCGCTGAAAACACCACTCTTGTAAAACTGAAAAGCAGAACCACTGGCATCAATGGCTACTGAAACTGGTTGATTTGCAACAGCTTTCTGAAGGGCCTTCTCATTGTTAGCAGGAACATCTTCGTAGCCAGTAATGGTAGCAGCATGGATGGCTTCTGCCTTTGCATTGCATTTTCCATCAACACCCTTATACGGGTAATTGGCTTCAGTGTCGAGTCCATGATTTTGGATGATGAATTTGAAAGCATCATCCATAAGACCACCTTCACAACCTTGGTCTACACCCTTTGTGTCACAATCAACAAGTTCTTGTTCTGACAAAGAGATCAACTTTCCAGAAGTCAGTGCATGAATTCCTTCAGTTGCTGCAACCGCGGAAAATGCCCAACAACATCCTACAAGATAAATTAATATTAGATAATAATTCGGTTTAATATGACATGGAAATGTCAGTGAAGAATGAAGCATTTGCTTACCACATTGACCTTGGTCCTTCACGGGTGTCACTGCACCCTTTTGCCTCCAATCCACTGTGGATGGGATTGCAGTCACATTTTCATACTTGAAAGTGGTTGTCCTTATGATTGAGGAACACATATGCCCCTTGAACCTATTTCTGGATGCTATGAACTCCTCGTTGGTGAGGTCTGCAAATTTATTAATGCCTAGCTCGTAAGGTTTATTGGCAGCAGCGTTGAAGGCTTCAATGAAATTCACATTTTCCTTGAATATCCTGAAACGCTTTTCCCTTTCCTGAGGGTCCTTATACACTCTGCCATAACGAATCATCCATTGTTCATGCCTCTCATACATGGAGGCATCTGGAAGAGAGCGACATGTGACTTGGAAAACCCAGAATACCATGCAGAAAAGGAATGCCAGTGAAATATGATAGATATGATTTTTTGCAGCCATGGTTACTAGTTTGTTGTGACAATAATTGGAACTACTGCTTCAGTGTGGCTAGTGAAAAGTGTGAAAGATGTGTTATGCTGTGGTGTGGTATGCAGGATTGTTTGTGGTGTTTATATATGCACGTTAACGTTGAATACTAATGTGTTTTTTAGATTCCAACTTAAATCTCAAAGCACATCTTTCTTGTATGTACCTACGAGATTTTTCTGAATTAGACCATTGTTTCCGGATATTGCTGCTGCTATGGACAAATTGTTTGTCAAACGTAGATGCTTCGACATACCATACTGCCAAAGTACTTTTCAAGAGGATTGTGCGTATTGGAAAGTTTGGAACATTAAAAAAAATGGAGGTTTGAAAACTATGTCAACTTCGTGCAGGCAAATTGCTAAAGCATAACCAAATGAAAAGTTGCAATCTGCCAAAACAAATTTAAAATATATATTTTTTTAAACAAAAATATATAGTAATATAATAATATTTGAGAAAGATGTTTTAACCAATAATAAGCGGAACTTGATAGTAATTAATTAAGTCTAGTATCGTAGCCACGGCAAAATACCCGAAGCATAATAAGACAAAATCCAAGTTAATTGAAAATGTACGATTGGGGCCACGAATTTTAATTTTATGTTATTATAGACCTTGAAATTCTACCAATCACGGAAAGAATTAATTCAAGTTTCTCTGCTAAACTACTTAGGATTTCCTGGTCTTAGGAAAGGACGTGTGGGCAACCTCTTAATAGTGTCTATGGTTCTGATTGCATAGAGAAGTGAACAATGTAATTTCTGAACAGAAATATGTAGCAATTGAATTCTAACTGTCACATCTCACTTTGAATTATCTGTAAATCTTGCTAATGGAAATACGAATAGATACAAGAGACAATATTGTACAGAAGCCATTTTCTTTTATCGTGAGGATTTTCTATTCGTTCAGGCGTTAAACCTGCTCCCCTGAATGAGAACGCAATACAAGATATTGTTTAATCACTTTTTGCGTTTGCCAATTCTCAACAGGCTTTAACACATACATTTAATTACATATATCAGCACATGTTAGAGATTAATTGCAGTACTTCTGTTGGAGATATTGGCCAACCTTAATAAGGTGGTTTATCGCTTTCCTTTTGTATTTAAATTTTAAATATGCATCCTTGATTCGAACTAAGGAACCCACTACACATTTATCCAGGATTAGTTTTAGTCACTTGCTGTCATATTTTTGTATAATATGGGGCTCTTTTAGTTACTTCTTTAAGCACCCCAATGTGTTCATCACAGAAAAAGTTATCATTTCAATTCTTCCATTTTCTTAAACAAGCATCATCATCACATGGATTATTAGTCGTTTCTCGTACAAGAAAGCAAGGAGTTATTACTAGTAATGTATTGCCCCAAATTTCACAATAGAATTGGAAGAAGGTATGGATCACACTTTCAATGAACAGAAAACAATAGTTCTTCTATGGACCACGACAATTTATTTTTCCCTCCAACATATTTCTGTATGCCGAATTTAAATATGGCAATAATTAATGATATAGATTTTATCAATCATAATTGTTATACAAATAAGCTACTATTTTCCTTTAAGGACACACTTTCTTACAGGGAAAGTATCTCTATCTCGTGTGTGGTTGGGACCTTGCAGCTCAATTTCAAAGTTCTAATTTGACATGTTTATTTATTCATAAATATATTTTGTCCGTGCTTAATTTGGTCCTAGGGAAAATATCTATGCTCTACCCTTTAGGGAATCATGTATTTTATTCCTGATCTGAAATTTATCAGAACAAAATATTTCTTTTTAGCGTTATTCAATCATGGTCAGAGACAAGTTCAGATAGTAAATACTGAAACTAATAAACAGAAAATACAGAGGAGCTGCCAGAGTAGTGAATTCATTGTAATTAAATAACAAAATGATAAACTTTGATTTTATGATTCTAATTCTTTTTCCGTCTTTCTCAAGAAAGGGAGGTGTTTACAAGTTGAGAAGATGCCTAGTATACAAAAATTTCTTCACTAATCTCTGTCAGTATCCTAACGTGTGAGATTTATAATCAGTTCAAGGAAGAAGTAACACATCGAAAGACATCTTCGCTGCAAGGAATTGTAAGGCCACCCATGGGATGATCATATCCAAACTCTTCCTCTGCTTGACTCAACAACTCCTGGAATGAAGATTGGTTCAAGTATGATACAGGGATCACAAAACGCTTTTGTTTCTCTCCAACATACACTGCAAGATAGCCCTTTGGGACTTCTACAGATTTTGAAGTTGCTGGCCTAGCTGTGGATGATGCTAGTCGAATAGCATGTAAACGGAGACCCATTTTTTGTGCTTGATTGAATGAAGTAGAACAATCTCAAATTTTGAAAGAATGAATATAAATGCTGAAGCTTGAGGGTTGCAATAGGATGTGTTGTTTGTGAAGACAAAGGATAGTGTATATATATAGAGTTTTTAAGATTCGGTGGAAAGGAAACCCAAATCTCTGAGAAAACTACAGTTAAAGGATGGAGGGCATATACATGAGATATCACATGGCGTTGTCGTCAGTGCCTCTATCAAGTATAAAGTTGAATGGACGACTGTAAACCCACCTTATCAAACAATGACCAACATAAAGTCTCCACATGTAACCGAAAGATAAATGAATCCTAACTGTTGTTCATTCATTAATTGGTATTCCATAATTTTACAGACATGCTATAAACACGTTTTCTTCATATTATGTTGGAGTACAGCTGGAATGTATTTTGCGGGTGATGAATTATGAAGCAAGGGATAGCGAATTATCATAGATTATTATTATATTTCTGAGGTTTGGGAAATACATCCATTATATTTCAAGCAGAACCGGTAGAGAAAGTGGTCCAAGGCAATACCATATACCCCTGTCTCTCTGTTGGTTCCATGACTCTTGTGTGATAGACCTCCCACCTCAATCATTCAAGTAGCCAACGATCTCTTACAAATAATTTCTTATATATATATATATATATATTCATGTATACAAGTATTAAGGACAACCAAAATTATCCATATCCTAAAAGATTTGAAGTTCAAAAGTTTAAATTGACATATACCAGCTCACATCAGAAATTAAGTGCAGTAGTTTTGTTGGAGATACTGACAAACCTTGGTAATGTATGCTACCTGCTGCCGTATATTGTATTTCAGTTTACATCCTCAACAAAACCAGGAACCCACTGAAACAGGTTTCAGCCACTTGTTGCCAAATTTTTAAATATGTGCCTCACATAATTCAATTCATGCTATTGCTTTTAAATTGAGAAAAATAATGAGAATACTTAGAAATGCTGAATCATATTTTTTGTTGAGTCTATCAGTATATTTAAATACACTGAAGTAACAGATAAAAGTTCTAGCTCCTTGATATTAGCAGCTGGTACTGGAAAACAAAATAAGAAACTACCTTAAAAACAAAAAATTATCAATTCACTAACAACATAATAATAGATTCTTATCAATTTACTAATTGATTTACTCAAACTAAACTAACACATCGTTAACAGCACCTTAGGCACTTTTCAAATACCCCTCCTTACCTTGGAGGTGACAAACTTTATCTAGACATTTGTAAGATCCCATTTTTATTGTTTCCTGTTGATGGTCACAATTCCTTCTAGGAAGGAGAAAAGGAAACTAAATTTGTGCAATAGTCTAGAAATAGTCTATTTAATTCCCAAGCTTAACCTCTTACCCGTGGAGGATTCTGTAAGGGTTGATGTTTTGTTCCAATGAATAAAAATACTAGCATGCTATTTTGATTTCCAATCCCCACTAGTTATGTTGCCATAGAATGTGGAAGATAGAAAGCAAGTAGGCAGTGAGAAGCTAATAGTTCAAAGTGAAAACACTTGCCATTTCGTGGGTGGGACACCTTTCGGTCAGAATGATTTATCTAACTCAGACAAGAAACAGTCCTTGAGAATATCCTGACTTTGTTACTCATTGAACCTATAAAATTGATGTGAAGTATCTTATCCACTCTCCTATCTACCGTTTTACACAGTCATATATAGACCAATTTCAATTTAAATGGTATAACGCGGTGGAAACAGTAACATTTCATACTGTAACGGAAAAAAAGAGAGATAGAGAAGGAACCAAAGGTCATTGATTCACTCAGCAGGAAGCGAGGGAAGCGGAATCCACTGTTGAGGCAACAGAGTCGAGAGCGCGACCGTTTCTCCTCTTACGCTTGGGCACCATTTTCGTCGGTTTTAGTCTTTCCCTGAAATCACTAGGCATTATATCACGGATTTCGTTCATCCGCTTCGAGTGGCTTGTGACTCGGAAGCTCTGATCGGAGGAAGAAGGCAACATGGAGGAAGCAGGTAACACCCTCTGACCGTCGGAGAAACTGATTTTCTCGACGGAGGTTACGCAGCACTCTTGCCAGTTGAGCTCTGCCAGATCGGCAACTACTTCATCCAGCGCCATAGCCGCAAATGCCGACACGCCATCGCTCAGCGTTGAGCGCGGCATATCTAGAAGATCAAGCGACTCTACAGCATCCACCAACACCTTCTGCACACAGAATCCAGATAGGTTTTGCAATTTCCCAAAACGAAAACCTACATGAGAACAATATCTTGTTCTTCGAAGATTCCGGGAGCAGAAACAGAGATCATAGACTACTACTGCAATCTATAAGTTCTAACTTTACTTAAGAAGCGTTGAATTCATAATAATTGACAAATAATAAAATTAAGGAAAAAAATACGGTGAGAATAGGCAACGTTTTTTGCACGAAACTTTCTTAGTAACCAAACGGAATTTAAGATTAGCCTGATAGAGAATAAAACCTTGGGAGCGTGATGAATTTTCTTGAAGCCGTGAATGCGGATGACCTGAGGTAATAAGCAGAAGAAAAAAAAAAAAGATAGAGAGTGCTGAGAGAAAATGACAAAAAGAGAACGAAGATGAGAATTGAACAGTATGAAACGAACCTGATTGAGTTGATTCATTGTTAGGTGAAGCGTTTGGCGAGAATGAAGAAGGTGGAGGTAGTCCTCCAGGCTTAGTTTGTCGTTCTTCGAAGGTCTTTTCTTCGTGGAGGTTCCATGCGATTGCGGAATCGTTGTTGATAATTCTTCTGCCATTCTTTCAAGACAGAACGAGGGAGGTTTGAAAACTTTATCAACTTCGGGCAAGGCAAATTGCCAAAGCATAACCAACTGAAAAATTGCACTCTCCCAAATCAATTTCATAATCTTTTTTTTATACGAAAATAGTGTATTTACTAAGAATTATTTTTTTAATCAAAATTAAAAATGCTTTATTTAAAAATAAATTTTTAAACCACTTTTATTGAAATTTTGATCTCATAAACAAATGTTAAAAGACATTGGAATAAAACCCCAATTAAATGAACACACTTTAGACATAGTATCATCACTAAGTTTATATAGGTTTGATTATATTTAAGAGAGTAAATTATATTATTATTTATTTAATAATGAAAATTAAGAATAAAGAAATAATACACATAGCTTTTTAAATGGTTAACTAATTTTCAAGGTTGAACAATTATTTATATGTTTTCTTTTGGTACAGACCGTTCATGCAACCTATCCGACCCAAATGGTATAAAATATACATTAGCATCACTCAGCTTCTTTGTAAATTTTATTATCTTTTAATCTTAGTCTTACATATTTTTAACGAGAAGAATTTCTAAATAATATTTATTTAAATTATTTTCTACATATTTAATTTATAATACAGTTCAATAAAATGTATATTATTATATTTTAACTTTACAGTTTTTTTGTTTATATATATAAATTTGTAACAAGTAGAAATTACAGCGCATTAATACTTAATATAGAGAACAATATACATATCAACATAATTTAACCAATTATTATATTCATATAGATAATTATAATTTGAAATGCTTCGGTGCTGGAGTATAAAAGAAGAGTCACCTTTATTGTGGGTTATGCGTTAGCGTTAGCAGCAATATGCATGCACATGAAACAATAAAATCTTCAAACCTCAATTTTTATAATTCCAAACTATGAGCCACGCTTAAGACAAAGGTGCTTTCAGATTTGTGTTGAAAACAAATAACATTAGTTTGCCATTCAACGTTGAATTTATATAAATACCACTACTAATCTTGGCTAACACCACAATATTTCTTTCAAACATTTCACTAATTAACCAACCTCAACTATTATTAGTTCCCATAGTTATCATACTACAGTACCCACCATGGTTGCCAAAAATTATTTCTGTCATATTTCAATGGCCATTCTTTTCTGCATGGCATTCTGGGCTTTTCAGGTCACAGCTCGCACTCTGCAAGACGTCTCCATGTACGAGAGGCATGAGGAATGGATGGTTCGTCATGCCAAAGTGTATACAGACCCTCAGGAAAGGGAAAAGCGTTTCAGGATATTCAAGGAAAATGTCAATTACATTGAAGCCTTCAACAATGCTGCCAATAAACCTTACAAGCTAGCCATTAATCAATTTGCAGACCTCACTAATGAGGAGTTCATTGCACCAAGAAATAGATTCAAGGGGCATATGTGTTCCTCAATTACAAGGACAACAACTTTTAAGTATGAAAATGTGACTGCAGTTCCATCCACAGTGGATTGGAGGCAAAAGGGTGCAGTGACACCCGTGAAGGACCAAGGTCAATGTGGTAAGCAAAATGATATTTCCAAGTCATATTAAACTGAATGATTATCTAACTAATAATTTATCTTGTAGGATGTTGTTGGGTGTTTTCGGCGGTTGCAGCAACTGAAGGGATTCATGCACTGACTTCTGGAAAATTGATCTCTTTGTCGGAACAACAACTTGTTGATTGTGTTAGTTAAACATTAAATGCATGTAGTTGAGAGGTAGTGATTATAGAGGTAGTAGTTGAGAGGTAGTTGTTGTATTGAATGTATGTAGTTGAAAGGTAGTAGTTGTATTAAATGTATGTAGTTGAGAGGCCATATCCAAAGGGCCTATAAATTGAACATGTATCACTCATTCAGTGGCGGATCTTCTTGGGAGCTGAGGGGGGCCGTGGCCCCCCCAAAGTTTTATAACTCCCATGTAATTTATGATTTTGGCCCCCCCCAAATATAATGAGCATTTAATATATTTACTTGTATATTTACAATTTTATCCTCTCAGCCCCTCCTCAATTTTGTAACTCTCATATAATTTATGATTTTGTTTCCCTCAAACTTAATTATCATTTAATATATTTAAGTATATATCTACAATTTTATCTTTTCAACCTTTCATATTCTTTTTTCTTTTTATTATTTATTAATAATATATTATTTGGTCCCCCCAAGATCAATGGTCAAGATCCGCCACTGCACTCATTGCAAAAACATCAAGTGATAATATATAGAGTGCTTTATTTAGATACTTGTTTGTCTACAAATTGGCATCAGAGCTTGAGAGCCTGAGTGTCTGAGTGCGTTAGAGAGAGTGTTTGAGAGTTAGAGAGTTTGTTTGAGATGGCCAACTTAGCTAACAGCATGCCCCTACCAAAGTTATCAAAAGGCGTAAGCTATGATAACTGGAGCCTGCAAATGAAGGCTCTCCTTGGTTCCCAAGAAGTATGGGATGTGGTCGAAAATGGGCACCAAGAACCAGAGAATATTGAAGAAGCGAGACGATTGCTCATCTTGCTGCATTGAGAGCAACACGAGTAAAGGACAAAACGACTTTGTACGTACTGTACCGAGCTGTTGATGAGTCCGGCTTTGAGAAGATAGCAAATGCTAAATCTTCAAAAGAAGCGTGGGATATTCTGGAGAAGGCATATAAAGGGGATAATCGCGTGAAGCAAGTCAGGCTTCAAACTCTTAGAGGAGAGCTTGAAAGCATGAGGATGAAAGAGGTCGAAGGGGTTGCCGAGTACATCTCCCGTGTTGAGACCGTGGTGAATCAACTCGGAAGAAATGGAGAGACGCTGCCCACTTACCGAGTGGTGGAGAAAATCTTAAGGTCGTTAACTGACGATTTTGAGAATATCGTTTGTGCAATAGAAGAGTCCAAGGACTTGTCGGTGCTCTCGGTGGAAGAGCTTGTCGGGTCGCTTGAAGCGCATGAGCAGCGGAGAAGGAAGAAGAAAGAGGAGTCCCTTGATCAAGCACTCCAAGCAAAGGCAACCTTAAAGGAGAAGAAGGTTCCTTATGCTCAGAACACTCAAGGCCGAGGTGGTAGAGGCAAAGGAGAATATGAAAGAGGCAAGGAGCCAGTCAGTCAACAAAACTGGTGTGGCCGAAGACAAAGTAGAGGTCGTGACGAGGTGGTCATTCAAGCAATTCCGGAGTTGAGTGCTTCAAATGTGGGAAGTACGGTCATTTTGCTAAGGACTGCTATTCAGGTATCAAATGTTATAATTGTGGGAAGGTTGGGCATTTCGCGAAGGACTGCCGATCTGAGAGGAAGAAGGAGACAAATCTCCTCTCTGAGGACACTGAGGAAGAAGGAGTATTGATGATGTCGAGAAGTTCGGATGTCGAACTAAGTCCGAGCTGTTCTGACAACTCGATTTGGTATCTTGATACAGGAGCAAGTAACCACATGTGCGGGGACGAGAACCTTTTTAAGGAGCTCACTAAAGTTGAGGCCGGACACGTGTCATTTGGAGATGCATCAAAGGTGGCAGTAAAAGGCAGAGGTACAATCTGGTACCTGCAGAAGAATAGCCGAGTTGGAGAAATCAGAGACGTGTACTATGTACCCGATCTCAAAAGCAACATATTGAGTATGGGTCAGCTGATGGAGAAAGGCTACTCGGTTCTGATGAAAGACCGAGTACTATACCTGAAGGACAAGTCGGATCGTTTGATTGCCCGAGTAGAAATGAAGAAGAACAGAATGTACAAGTTGGACTTGAAGATAGTCCAAGAGAGGTGTTTGAAACTTGACGTGAAGGATGAAGCAATGATGTGACACTTTCGATTTGGCCACTTGCATTTTGGCGGACTGACCGAGTTGGTAAAGAAAGAGATGGTGCGAGGACTCCCGTCTATGAAATTTGAAAAGAAATTATGTGAAGAGTGTGTGCTCGGGAAGCATCCGAGGACCTCATTTCCGAGGACGGCCGAGTACCGTGCAAAGGAACAACTCGGATTGATTCACACAGATATTTGTGGACCGATTACCCCTGAGTCCTTCAGTGGGAAAAGGTATTTCATTTCTTTTATAGATGATTTTTCAAGAAAAACCTGGGTATATTTTTTGAAGGAGAAATCCGAGGTGTTTGAGGTGTTCAAGAGATTTAAAGCAATGGTTGAGAAAGAGACTGGCATGCCTATCAAATCGTTAGGTCTCGATCAAGGAGGCGAGTTCATTTCATCCGAACTCATGAAGTATTGCGAGGAGCAAGGGATAAGGAGATTTCGACAAGCACCATACTCACCCCAACAAAACGGAGTTGCCGAGAGGAAGAATCGAACCATTCTTGACATGATTCGAATAATGTTGAGAAACAAAAACGTGCCAAAGGAGTTACGAGTGCAGCGATGCAATGTGCCATCTATGTGCAAAATAGATGTCCACATGCTAAGCTGAACGAGAAGACACCGCAAGAAGTTTGGAGTGGAAGAAAACCGAGTGTGTCTCACCTTAAAGTGTTCGGTAGCATAGCTTATGGTCATGTTCCAGCTCAACAGAGGACCAAGCTCGAAGATAGAAGCAAAAAGTACGTGTTTATTGGGTATGATGAAAAAACCAAGGCGTACAGGTTGTTTAACCCAATAACTAAGAAGGTCATCATGAGCCGAGATGTTCAAATTGTTGAAGAAAGCGAGTGGAGTTGGAACAACCCAGAGAAGGAGTCCATAGGAAGTAGAAGCTCGAAAGTTGATACACCACATACTGTGAGAGATCATGAGACTTCTGATGAAGAAGATGAACCTTTACAGCCCAGAGCGCGAAGTTTACAAGATATATACAACTCCACTGACAAAGTGCATGTTGTATGTCTCTTGGCAGATTCAGAAGACTTAAGTTTTGAAGAGGCCGTGCAGGGGAAATGGTGGAGAAAGGCAATGGACGAGGAGATCGGAGCAATAGAACGCAACAACACATGGGAGCTAACTGATTTGCCCAAAGGAGCACGACCTATCGGCGTAAAGTGGGTGTACAAGAAGAAGACAAATGCTGAAGGAGAAGTTGAACGATATAAAACTCGACTCGTAGTGAAGGGGTACAAGCAGAAAGAAGGAATAGACTATGACGAAGTATTCGCCCCAGTGACGAGAATGGAAACAATTAGGTTGCTGATTTCCTTAGCAGCTCAACACAGATGGACAATCTTGCAGATGGACGTGAAGTCGGCATTTCTGAATGGAATCTTGGAGGAGGAAGTATATGTTGAACAACCACTCGGATACATGCGAAGAGGAGAAGAGAAGAAAGTGCTGAGATTGAAGAAGGCACTTTATGGCTTGAAACAAGCTCCACGAGCATAGAATGAAAGAATTGACACTTACTTCAAAAGGAATGGATATAAGCAGTGTCCTTATGAACATGCTTTATACATAAAGAAGAAAGGAGAAGATGTGATGTTTGTTGCCCTATATGTTGATGATCTTATCTTCATGGGAAATAATGCCGAGCTAATTGAAGAGTTTAAAGAAGTGATGAAGAAGGAGTTTGAGATGACTGACTTGGGTCTTATGAAGTATTTTCTTGGCTTAGAAGTTGTTCAGGGAAAGGATAACATCTTTGTGTCGCAGGAAAGGTATGCTGAGGAGATCTTGAAGAAGTTTAAGATGACAAGTTGCAACCCGGTTTCCACCCCTATGGAACCTGATACAAAACTTTCTAAGTATGCAGATGGAGACCGAGTTGATGCGAGCAAATACCGAAGTCTGATTGGAAGTCTTAGGTATCTTACAAATACCAGACCAGATTTAATGCTAAGTGTTGGAATAGCAAGTCGATATATGGAGGAACCAAGGTATACTCATTGGAAGGCACTAAAGAGAATTCGAAGGTATGTGAGAGGAACAAGTGTCACTTGGCCTAATGTATACTAGGACGGATGATTATCGACTAGTAGTCTACTCGGATAGTGGATCGGTGTGGAGATGTTGATGACCGGAAAAGCACGTCTGGATATGTATTCTTCATGGGAAACACAAAGCATTCACCCGACTTTCAAAAAGCAGCCCATTGTAACGTTGTCAACTTGTGAAGCCGAGTACGTTGCGAGCATCCTGGAGTGTCTGTCATGCAGTTTGGCTTAGAAACCTTCTAAGCAAGCTGGAGTTGAAGCAAGAAAGAGGGACTGTGATTCGAGTTGATAACAAGTCGGCCATTGAATTGGCAAAGAATCCGGTCAATCATGAGAGAAGCAAACATATTGATGTTCGGTTTCACTTCATCCGAGAACAAGTGAAAGAAGGAAATGTAGAGTTAGAGCACGTCGGAACCCGAACACAAGCTGCAGATATGTTCACGAAGCCACTGTCAACCACTCTGTTCGAGAACAACAAGAAGATGCTTGGAATGAAGGACAAGAAAAACATTTAAGTTTATGGGGGGATTTTGTTAGGTAAACATTAAATGCATGTAGTTGAGAGGTAGTGGTTATAGAGGTAGTAGTTGAGAGGTAGTTGTTGTATTGAATGTATGTAGTTGAAAGGTAGTAGTTGTATTAAATGCATGTAGTTGAGAGGCCATATCCAAAGGGCCTATAAATTGAACATGTATCACTCATTGCATAAACATCAAGTGATAATATATAGAGTGCTTTATTTAGATACTTGTTTGTCTACAGATTGTGACACAAAGGATGTGGACCAAGGTTGTGAAGGTGGTCTTATGGATGATGCTTTCAAATTCGTCATCCAAAACCCTGGACTCAACTCTGAAGCAAATTACCCTTACAAGGGTGTTGATGGAACCTGCAATGCCAATGCAGCATCCCGCCACGCAGCTACCATTACCGGGTATGAGGATGTCCCTGCAAACAATGAGAAAGCACTGCAAAAGGCTGTGGCTAATCAACCAGTGTCTGTGGCCATTGATGCCAGTGGCTCTGACTTCCAGTTTTACACGAGTGGTGTCTTCACTGGTTCGTGTGGAACTGACTTGGACCACGGTGTCACTGTGGGATATGGTGTCAGTGGTGATGGAACTGAGTATTGGTTGGTTAAGAACTCATGGGGAACAGAGTGGGGTGAAGAAGGGTACATTAGGATGCAAAGGGGTGTGGATTCTGAGGAAGGACTTTGTGGCATAGCGATGCAAGCATCTTACCCTACTGCATAATAGTAAAACTTGAACTCCAATATGGTATTTTCTGTTCTACATAACTTTTCTGCTATATTTCGTGCATATCACTGTATCCCCTACGTGAACGCAGTATTGTACATTACACTTGTTATCAGTTAATTACTATCCAATACAAAATTTCTCTTGGTTATGACTTATGAGTTATACAATACAATTGAAAGGTATCAGAACAATAAATGAAACAAAGAGAATAGTACGGCACAGGGGTTGAGAGAGAGCATTGAGTTTATATGAAACAAATGTAACTCATTACAACCACACATAAGGTTTGTGTATGTACAGTATTGACACAGTGCTGGTTAACCACAAAAACATGGTCTAAGAAATATGAATTTGTCATTTGAATTCCCCTCTCTTTCTCAAGAAAGGGTGATCTCTACAAGTTGAGAAGACGCATATGGCACAAAATTTCTCCATTAATCTATGTTAGTGTCCAAAAGTATACTAGTATTTGTCAATTGAAGCAACATGTTATGCGTTGGAAGACATCTTCACTGCAAGGAATTGTGAGGCCTCCCATAGGATGTTCATATCCAAACTCTTCCTCAGCTTGACGCAACAAGTCCTGGAATGAAGGTTGGTTCAAGTATGATACAGGGATTACAAACCGCTTCATTTTCTCTCCGACATAGACTGCAAGATAGCCCTTTGGTGCATCCACTGCTTTTGAAGCTGCTTGATTTGCTGAAAATAATGCCTTTCGGATACCATGTAAACGAAAACCCATTGTTGTGTTGATTTGACAAGAGAGTGGTTCACAAACAAGTTATTGAGTTTTGAATGCTCTAGGATGTGAATGATTTGTGTTGGTCCTAAATGGTTAACCACGACTATATAGAGAGAAATGGATAGATATGAAACCTTTGGGAGTATGAATTATTGATGAAGGAGGGCTATGCAATAGGAATGATTGGACCAATTGAAAGACAAGGGCGCATGGTGTTGTCTTCAGAAATTCCTCAAGAATCAACTTAACATGTTATAGTCGTTATGATAAATACTATTCCACCTTCTCATGGAAGGCCATAAGATTTCCCCACTTGAAAAGAAAATAACAAAGTTGGTCATGTTGATAACTATTGAGAAAAAGGGTGGGGGCAAAGAACTTCATGTGTGCAAATTTTAATTGGTGAACTTCATGTTTCTCTTCTTACGTCCAAACACTAATTCTGAGCTGTCAATCTGGTCTGCTTAAGGCTTACCGATTGCTATCTCTCTCTCTCTCTCTCTCTCTATATATATATATATATATATATATATATATAGTTATAAACAATGTAATGTGTGTATTTGAAGAAGCATGTGATATGTCCAAAGCATATCCACCACTGGATTAACTATATTGTAATTCATGAACAGCTAGTTGATTATCAGGTGAATAATCTGTCGACCATTATTGAGGAAGATGAGCTATGCACTTCCGTTGAGCTTCCTATAATCCCTGAAAATGACTTCTGCGACCAAACCATTTGATGTTGCTTTCTTGAAACATGGCCAATTATGGAATTGGATTGCAGTGGTTGTAGCAATTAGATATGCTCACTTTTCTTCAGTTTCCAAACAATACAACACATTCTTGTAGTATCAGAATTCATATACTTCTTTCATATACAATCCCATGTCAGCAGAATATTATTTGTTGTTGGAGAAACTGAAAACAATGGCTTTCCGTGTATCAGGTGTTATCAGGTGGGCGTCATTTTCTCCAACACATGCAGTCTCCAAGAGAGTTGAAGTACTAAAAGGGTATCTTGGAGTGTATGCTGGTGATGAGATGAGGCGGTTCATGATTCTAGTATAATAGTTGAAACAACCTTTATTTCTAGAATTACTTTGTCCAGCAGAAGAAGAATTCGGATATGCAACAATACCATACCTAAGGCGTTTTCTTTTATTGTTAGGATTTTACAATTTGTACCTGAATGAGAATGCAACAATAGGATGGCCCCATATTCCAATTGATCCCAACTGTTTGCAGCCTGAGTATGTATAGATAAAAGGGTATGTGAGAAATCTTTTGACTATTTAACAGAGAGCTATGATAGGACTGATGAGACCAAGAACTTATGGCTCCGTCCTACAGGACTTTATAGCTCTGGAACAACGTTGATAAGAAGAGAACCAACATTGGATGCATGTCCTTATCATGAGGCATTATGAATCACAAATTTACGTACGTCAAATTCTAAGAAACAGAGTGAAATTTGCATAAACGAAGATTCTGGCCCCATCACCCTGAATAACATGTAATTGTCGACAAGATCAAATTACACTTCGTTTTCATAGATTCCGAGGGTGGGACTTCGATTACGTACATGATAACATGTTACGTTGATTCTGAAGAAAGTGTTAGTATTATGGTGCTTGATTTAGTCCCATATCGATTAGGATTGTGAGATGAGGTTCTCTATTTTGTTATATAAGCAACCCTATGTAAAGTTTGAGATACACACAGAAATAAAAATACTTCCTAGTGTAGTCGTGGACGTAGGCATACATATTTTAGCCAAACCACGTTAAAATTCTTGTGTCGTTTATTTTTCTCTCCTTTATTCTTTCCTTTATTATTGTCTTGTTCCTAACAATTGGTATCAGAGCCAATTTTCTTAGTATGCTCTGTGGTTGCAGCTTTGTCTGATCTTCCACATCAGAAAAGATTTGGTCTTTTTTTCTTGGGAATCTCAGTTTAGAGAAGCAGTGGGAGCTTTCTTCGAAAGCAGTGAGAGCAATGGCATTGGAAGAAGGAAAGGTGAGGATCGAGAAGTTCGATGGCGGTGACTTCGGGTTCTGGAAGATGCGAGATGGAAGATTATCTCGTATCGGAAGAAGTTGTATCTACCCTTGACAGTGCGAAGCCAACCGACATGGAGCAGATCGAATGGGAGTTGTTAGATCGGCGGACGCTTGGTGTGATCCGGTCGACATTAGCCAAGAATGTTGCGTTCAACATCATGAACGAGAAGACAACCGTAGATTTGATGCAGGCGTTGTCAAATATGTATGAGAAGCCCTCTGCAGCCAATAAAGTGCATTTGATTCACGAGGCTAGTCAACCTCAAAATGGGTGAAGGTAACTCGGTTACTAATCATATTAGTGAATTTAATGCAATTATTGCGCAGTTGACATCAGTCGAGATAATATTTGATGATGAGGTGAAAGCATTAATTTTATTATCATCTCTACCGGAAAGTTGGGGTGCAAGCTATTCATGCGATGAAGTAATTCTGCAAGCAATAACAAGTTGAAGCTTGATAACATCCAGTGACTTGATCTTAAGCGAAGATGTTCGCAGAAAAAATTCGAGTAGAATCTTTCGGTTCTAATTCGAGTTCGAGCATTGAGTACCGAAACTAGAGGAAGAAGTCGCTGAAAGGTCGTAATCAAGGCCGAGGCGAGATCAAAATCCAGAGGGAGATCACAAGCAAAAGTCCGGAATGATATCACTTGTTGGAATTGTCGGAAAAAGGGCCACTTTTCAAATCAGTGTAGGGCTCCAAAGAAGGACAACAACAACAACAAGAAGCAAGATGATGATCAATCAGCAAATGCGAGCAATCGATGAAGTTGAAGATGCACTGTTATGTAGTTTAGATAATTCTATTGACTCATGGATTATGGACTCGGGTGCGTCATTTCATACTACACCTTCCTTAGAACTATTATCCAACTATGTTTCGGAAAGTTTGGGAAGGTCTACCTTGCAGATGGAAAATCTCTTGATATCATAGGAAGAGGTGATATTAACATCGGAACCTCTAATGGAAACGTGTGGACTTTGAATAATGTCGGACATATTCCAACCTTAAAGAGAAACTTAATATCTATAGGGCAGTTGGATGATGAGGGACATTACACCACTTTTGGAGATGGACATTGGAAGGTAATGAAAGGTAATCTTGTTGTTGCTCGTGGAAAGAAGCAAGGATCTCTCACATGATTGCGAGATGAGGATATGATATCGGTTGCAGAAGTTGGCAACAATTCCTCCTTATGGCATCGAGGCTTGGGCATATGAGTGAGAAAGGAATGAAGCTCATGATATCAAAAGGTAAAATACCTAACGTGAAGCATGTTGACGTTGGACCTTGCGAACATTGTATCTTTGGAAAGAAGAAAAAGGTTAGCTTCTCCAAAACAAGTAAGTCGTCTAAAGTTGAAAGACTAGAACTAGTGCATACGAGATGTTTGGGGGCCGGCTTCAGTGAAATCCCTTGGAGGTTCACAATATTATGTAACCTTCATTGATGACTCTACAAGAAAGGTATGGGTTTATTTTCTTAAAAATAAATCTGATGTGTTTTCTGTGTTTAAAAGGTGGAAAAAGGAGGTTGAGACTCAAACGAGGTTTAAAGGTCAAATGTTTGAAGTCCGATAATGGTGGAGAATATGACGAGTAGTCAATTCAAGGAGTTTTGTTCGGAGAATGGGATCGGAATGATCAAGACAGTTCCAGGAACACCGGAACAAAACGGTGTGGCGTAAAGAATGAACAGAACCTTGAATGAGAGAGCAAGATGTATGAGAATCCAGATCAGGATTACCCAAGGTATTTTGGGCGGATGCAATAAGCACAGCAGCATATCTCATAAACGAGAGGACCATCAGTTCCTTTAGACTATAAGTTACCCGAAGAAGTATGGTCTGGAAAAGAGGTAAATCTTTCACATCCGAAAGTTTTTGGTTGTGCGTCATATGTTATGTTAGACTCTAATAGTAGAGATAAATTGGACCCTAAGGCAAAACGTTGTTATTTCATTGGTTATGGATCTGACATGTTTGGCTACGAGGTTTTGGGATGACCAAAACAAGAAAATTATCGAAGTAGAAATGTTACTTTTAATGAAAACATGTTCTATAGAGACAGGATTGCGAGAATCCGCAAATGAAAATAAACAGACTAGAGCAAGTATCATTAGAAGAAATTTCGGAAAGTGATGTAGTCAACCGAAGGCGTAATATACAAGTAGAGCCTATGTCGAGCCCGAGACGTAACCCGAACAAATAGTAGAGTCAAGCAACTCCCGAAATCTTGGTTAGAAGATCTAGCGAACAATTGTAGCACCACAAAGGTATTCCCCTTCATTGCATTATTTGTTGTTGATCGATGCTTGGTGAGCCGAGCATTTTGCTGAGGCTATGCAGGGAGATGAATCTATTAAGTGGGAGCTAGCAATGGAAGATGAGATAAAGTCCCTTCAGAAGAATAAAACATGGTCTTTAACCAAGCTACCAGAAGGAAAGAAAGTTTTGCAAAACAGGTGGGTCTATAGGTTGAAAGAAGAACCGGATGGCGAGCAAAAGATATAAGGCTAGACTCGTAGTGAAAGGGTTCCAACAAAGACAAGGAATTGACTTCACGAAATTTTCTCTCCTATTGTCAAGATGACTACCATCGAGTTATCTTGAGTATAGTAGCTACGAGAAAATCTTCATTTGGAGCGAGTTAGATGTCAAAACCGCATTCTTACATGGGGATCTTGAAGAGGAAATTTTTATGACACGAGCCAAAAGGTTTTGAAGTACAAGGCGGAGAAAATCTTGTATGCAAGCTTCATAAAAGTTTGTACGGATTAAAACAAGCGCCGAGACAATGGTACAAGAAGTTTAATGAGTTTATGAGAAACTCGGGATTTCGTGAGATGTGAAGAAGATCACCGTTGTTATGTGAAGAAATATGTTGATAGCTATATCATTCTTGCCTTATATGTTGACGACATGTTGATTGTTGGAGCTAATATGGCGAGAAATTGACAAGTTGAAGAAACAATTGTCGAGAGCTTTGAAATGAAGGATCTTGGTCCAGCCAAGCAAATTCTTGGTATGAGAATCTCCCGAGATAGAGATAAAGGTATTTTGAACTTATCTCAAGAAAAATATATAGAAAAATTGCTTAGCAGATTCAATGTTGGGAATGCTAAAACCAGGAATACACCTTTGGGAACTCACTTAAAGTTTTCAAAGAGGCAATCTTCTCAAACGAGAAGAAGAAGAAAGTCACATGTCTAAAGTGCCATATGCATCTGCAGTAGGAAGCTTGATGTATGCTATGGTTTGCACCGGACCGGACATAGCACATGCGAGTGGGAGTTGTGAGCAGATTTCTATCAAATCCCGGAAAGGAGCATTGGGAAGGAGTGAAGTGGATATTTAGATATTTGAAAGGCACTTCAAAGATGCATTTGTCTTTCAAGAGAAGTAATCTCATTTTACAGGGGTTTTCGATGCGGACTTGGGAGGTGATCTTGACGGTAGAAAGAGCACAACGAGTTATATTTTTACATTGGGTGGTACAGCTATCGGTTGGAAGTCTAAACTTCAAGGAAGGGTCTCTCTCTCAACCATCGAAGCGAGTATGTAGCTATCTCGGAAGCGGCGAAGGAGATGATATGGTTGAAGAACCTTCTAAAAGAATTAGGAAGAGAACAAGATGGTTCTCCGTTGTTTAGTGACGATCAAAGTGCTATTTGTCTTGCTAAAAATCCAATCCTTCATTCCGAGATGTAAGCACATTGAATTGAAGTATCATTTTATCGAAACCCGATAAATGATGGAGACTTGAGTTTGTTGAAGATTCCAGTGCGAGAGAATCCCGCTGATATGTTGACCAAGACTGTTACAACAACTAAGTTGAGGCTTTGCATTGCCTCAACTGGCCTTCGAGCAAATTGATGATGAAGGCACTACACTAGGTGGTAACGTAAATCAAACTCCAAGTGGGAGAATTGTTAGTATTATGGTGCTTGATTTAGTCCCACATCGATTAGGATTGTGAGATGAGGTTCTCTATTTTGTTATATAAGCAACCCTATGTAAAGTTTGAGATACACACAGAAATAAAAATACTTCCTAGTGTAGTCGTGGACGTAGGCATACATATTTTAGCCGAACCACGTTAAAATTCTTGTGTCGTTTATTTTTCTCTCCTTTATTCTTTCCTTTATTATTGTCTTGTTCCTAACAGAAAGTACTCAAAGACAACACCACATGCCATGTCTCTCATTTGCTCCCATGATCCTAGCTACCTCATATCACTCCTTCACCAATAATTTAAGTAACCGGTTGATGGGTTCTTCCATATCCTTTTATCTATATATATTATGGCTTCAAGCATTTAGGTCAACTCAAATCAACCGCATCCCAAAGCATTCAGAATTCTCAATACTTCACTTAAACCATTCTTTTCTCAAATCAAAACAATGGGTTTTCGTTTACCTGGTATGAAAAAGGCATTATTTGCAGCAAATCAAGTGTCTTCAAAAGCAGTGGAAGCACCAAAGGGCTATCTTGCCGTCTATGTTGGAGAGGAAATGAAGAGGTTTGTAATCCCAGTCTCATACTTGAACCAACCTTCCTTCCAGGAGTTGTTGAGTCATGCTGAGGAAGAGTTTGGATATGATCATCCCATGGGTGGCCTCACAATTCCTTGCAATGAAGATGTCTTCCGATTTATAACTTCTTCCTTGAATTGCCAATAAATCTCACACGTTAGGAGACTGACATATATTAGTGGAGAGATTTTGTATACTAGGCATCTTCTCAAGTTGTAAACATCTTCCTTTATAGTGAAAGAGGGAAAAAGAATTAGAATCATAAAATCACAGTGTGTATCTTTTTTATTTAATTACAATGAACTCAACTACTCAAGCAGGTCCTTTGTATTTTCTGCTTATTAGTTTCAATCTGCACTTGTGACCATGATTGGATTGCGTTATAAAGAAAGACTTTGTGCTGAAAAGTTTCAGATCAGGAATAGAATTGTTGAGAAGTGATGCAAATTCTAGAAAAATCAAGAAAATTAAGTTCCATAAACTTCTTTTAAGTTCTAGAGTCTATGAGAATTGTAAACTTTATGTAAGTAGTCTCTATAATTACTAGAAAAATCTAGAATGATAAGTTAAAGTGTAATATAGGAAGAATCATCTCTAAGTTCCTAGAAGATTCTAGAGAGAAGTGGGTGGTGACTCCCTCACTTGAAGTGTAGCACTTTCAAGATCAATTACTATCTTCCCTCTTACAAACCTTCTCCTATTTGCTCATCTCTTTCTAAAAACTATTTTATACACAAATCTCACTATTAAACATCAAACCATCTTTCCTATCCTTCCTAAAATACTAACAGTGGTATCAGAGCTACGTTCGATCATCTATTAGGCGTAGATACAATCCAACCACCTTCAAAAAGCTCTACTATATTTCATATCAATTCCACCCAATGGCTAATGTCAACTCTTCTTCATCTATTCCTCTACCTATCTTCACGAGAGAAAATTATGACTTTTGGAGCATTAAAATGAAGACATTTTTTTGCTTTCAAGATCTGTGGGAGATTGTTGAAGATGACTTCATTACTCCTACAGATGTTTCTACATTAACAGCAACTCAGAAGAAAGAGTTGAAAGAGAACAAGTAAAAAGATTCAAGGGCATTGTACTTTCTAAAACAAGTTGTGGTTGATGCAACTTTTCCAAGAATAATGGATGTCGCAAGTGTCAAAGAAGTATGGAGCACATTATAGGAGAAGTTTCAAAGAAGTGTAAAGATACGCACCATTAAACTTCAAACTTTAAGACGTGAGTTTGAATTATTGAGTATGAATGAGTCTGAGACCATTAAAGACTACTATACTAGAATCAAAGAGATAATTAGTCAAATGAGAGCATGTGGAGAAAATATTCTGGACAAGAAAATTTTTGAAAAATTTTTAATTTCTATTCCCTACAAATATGATGCAATTGTGATAACAATTGAACAAATCAAGGATTTGTCTACCTTATCGGTGATAGAACTAATAGGTTATCTTGAAGCATATGAGCAAAAATTAAAAAGGTATAATAAAGATTTTGTCGAAAATGTCTTTCAATCAAAGCTCAAATTACAGTATCAGAATAGAGAAATTGGAAGAAAAAAATTGAAGAAATTTCTAGAAATAAAGAAAACTCTAGAAATTTCACCAAGTCTAGTTAAGACAAATTTCCTCCTTGTGGCATCTGCAAAAAGTCATGTCACTTGGAGAAGGATTGTTGGCATCGTGGAAAATCTCAATACCAACATTGCAAGAAGTTTGGACATGTTGAGAAAAATTGTCGCAAAAAAAACAAGCATCAAACAACTGTTGCTGAAGAACATGACCTTTAGCAACATTTTCTATGTTATCTGAGACTCCAATGATGAAACAAACGAAAATTGGTATTTGGATAGTAATCACATGGTCAAAGACGAAAACATCTTCAGGGACATTAACGACTCTGTCAAAGTAAAAGTACGGTTGAGAAATGACACAATAGTAGAGTCAAAAGGAAGAGACAGAGTACATGGCTGCAGCTGAGGCTACAAGTCAAGCTATATGGCTTTGAAGAATATTTGAAGAGATGGGAAAAAAACAACATGGATCTACTACAATTTACTGTGATAACAAATCAGCGATACCAATGACAAAGAATCCAGTCCATCATCAAAAAACAAAACATTTAACTATTAAATATAACTTCATCAGAGAAGCTGAAACGACTAAACAAATTCAACTTGAGTACTGCACTACAGAAGATCAAATTGCAGACATATTTAACAAGACATTACCAAGAGCCAAGTTTGAACAGTTACATTTCATGATTGGAGTTATAGAAATTTGCATCAAGGAAGAGTGTTGAGAAGTGATGCAAATTCTAGAAAGATCAAGAAAATTAAGTTCTAGAAACTTCCTTAAGTTATAGAGACTATTAGAATTGTAAACTCTATATAAGTTCCTAGAAGATTCTAGAGAGGAGTGTCTCATGCCTATATATAGATGGTGACCCCCTCACTTGAAGTGTAGCACTTCCAAGATCAATTACTATGTTCCCTCGTACAAACATTCTCCTATTTGTCCACTTCTTTCTAAAAATTATTTTCTACACAAATCTCACTACTAAACATCAAACCATTTTTCCTATCCTTCATAAAATACTAACAAGAATACATGATTCTCAAAAGGGTAGAGCAGAAGTATTTTCCCTACGACCAAATTAAAAATAGACAAAATATAGTTTTATGATAAATATACCATGTCAAATTAGAACTTTGAGCTGCGCAAGGCCCTAACCACACACGAGGTTCCCTGCAAAATCAGGTGCAAAATAAAATTGTACTTAACATCAAGGTTTATTTTCTTCATTGAATAGACATGGCCAACTTTTGTTACCAAGGCTTTATCTTATACCATTCGCAAATGGCGTGGCTCAGTATCTCAAACCCTACATCTTGATAAACTATGACCTTACAAAAGAAATTTGTGGAAGAGAAAAATTATCAATACTAGAACTATTATTTTCTGTTCATTCAAACAATGACAATCAAGAGTTCTTATTTTCTAGATCTATCCCCAACTTGTTGTCATATCTTCTTCTGTTTCAGTTGCGAATTTTGGGGCAATACCATTACTCTCCATTATGTCTTTTGAACACGAAACAACTAATAATCCATGTGATGTTGCTGATTGTTTAGGAAAATGGAGCAATTCATGAATCTTGAAAAAGGATATAAGATTTTGCAGTAACGGGAGAGTACTAATGTACTGAAGATAATACACTGTGGTGCTGAAATATGTGCTGATAATCTGATGCTGATATATATATATATATATATATATATATATATATATATATATATATATATATATATATATATATATATATATATATATATATATATATATATATATATATATTATATGTATGTATGTCAAGTTAAATTAGGTAATAAAAACTTGTTGAGATATGGGGAAAGCAAAAAGTGATTAAACAATGTCGTCTGTTACATTCTCATTCAGGGAACCAGCTTAAGTGCTGTACAAATAGAAAATCCTCAATAAAAGAAAAGGCCTTCTGTACAAGATTGTCTCTTCTAATATATTTGTATCTGTGTTAGCAAGATTTAAAGATCATTCAAACTGAGATGTGACAGTTAGGAACTCATCCTCCTTGCATGGTATTGTAAGACCACCCGTTGGATGGTCATACCCGAATTCTTCTTCAGCTTGATTCAACAATTGCTGAAAGGACGGTTGGTTCAAGTATGATACGGGGATAACAAACCGCTTCATTTTCTTTCCAACATACACTGCAAGATAGCCCTTTGGCACATGATTTGTAGCGACTGATGCCTTTCTGATTCCAGGGAAACGAAAACCCATTGTTGTTGTATGTATGTGTGGAGAATTGGGATGAGAATGTGAGAAAACACTTGAGAATAGGATGCAAGTTTTTGAACTTCAAATGCTTTTATGATGTGAATGGTTTTTGTTGGTAAAGAATGCTTGCACGGATGAATATATATAGAAGAAATAGTTTGTAAGAAATCCTTTGCTACTTGAATGATTGAGGTGGGAGGATTATTATGAGCAAGGAGTCGTGGGACCAACTGGGAGACAAGCGCATATGCTATATTTCTTAACTGATTAAAGTTGAGATCAATCAATTCATGTGTTATCTCAAACCTCATAAATATATATAATGATCTTTCGCTATCAGTTGCATTATAATTTATAAACAAGAGGTTACATTTCAAGCGTGAAGAAAACATGTCCCAAGCATGTTAACGTGAATATGGAATACCAATTAATGCATGAACAAACGTTAAGTTTCTTGGGCACGTCTCATTTGGTTACAGGTGGAGGATTTGCGATAGCCATTTTTGATAAGGTGGGGTTACACATACCTACACAACTTATCCATTCGAGAGGCATTGAAGACAACAGCATGTGATATCTAATGTGTATGTCCTCCATCCTTTAACCGTCATTAATTTTCTCTCGAAATTGGTAGAACCTAAGAAACTCTATATATACACACTGCCCGTTGTCTTCACAAACAACTCACTCAAGCTTCAACATTTTGACTCAATCTTTCAAAATTTGAGATAGTTCTTCTACCTTGGATCAAGCACGAAAAAATGGGTTTCCATTTGCGTTCTATTCGACGGGCATCATTAACAGCTAGCCCAGCAGCATCAAAATCAGAACAAGTCCCAAAGGGTTATCTTGCAGTCTATGTTGGAGAGAATCAAAAGCGGTTTGTGATTCCCATATCATACTTGAATCAACCTTCATTCCAAGACTTGCTGAGTCAAGCTAAAGAAGAGTTTGGATACGATCATCCGATGGGTGGCCTCACAATTCCTTGCAGCGAAGATGTTTTCCAACATATTACTTGCCTCTTGAATAGATAATGAATCTCACACTGTACATATGAGACTGACATTGATTAGTATACATTTCATACAATATACAACTTCTCGCATGTAAAGATTACCAAATTTTGAGTAATGACAACGAACTCAATTGCTATTTATTTGTGTTTAGAGATTAAAATTGTCTATACAATCTGAATCAAAGTCACTATTAAGAGGAGGCCCAAGTGCTTTCTGAAGACCAGGAAATCCCAGTAGTACCGCCAACGAGAAACTTGAATTTATTAATTTGGGAGAAGATTGATAGATTTCAAAGATCTATAGTAATTCATAAAATTGAAAATTGTGGTCAAATCTTTCAAAAACACTTTGTATATTATTATTTGGTGTATTTTTGCAATGAGTGATACATGGTTAATTTATAGGTCTCTGGACATGGTCTCTCAATTACATCTATTTAATACAACCATTACCTCTCAACTACATACATTTAATACAATCATTACCTCTCAACCACTATCTCTCAACTACATGCATTTAATGTTTACCTAACAAAATCCTTCCATGAACTTAAATGTTTTTCTTGTCCTTCAGTCCAAACATCTTATTATTGTTCTCGAACAGAGTGGTCGGCAATGGCTTCGTGAACATATCACTACTGCAGAAAAGGCTTTTTACGTCGGTTAAAATGAGTTTTCTACGTCGATTAAAGCGGCGACATAGATACTGGGGTCATAGAAAGTAAGGCTTTCTATATCGGTCACTAACAAAAACATTAAAAAATTAACAAAAACATTAAAAAATTAAAAATATTTTTTTATAACTCTCTAATCTCCCTTTTATATTCTTATTATTTATTATATTTTTTAGAAATTTGAATTATGATTAGATTGAAAGAATTATTACTTGGTAGGATTCGAACTCGAGTACCTTAGAGTTAGAGACCGATACTCCAACCACTTAGCTACTAGGTATTTTTGATAATAGTTTATAAATAAATTATATTTATATACAAATAAAAATATATATCCGTGTAAATATATAAATATAAAATATATAAATACAAATATATATATATATATATATATTGGATGTGAGGGCGCGTTCGAGGTGAAAGTGTGTCGAGTAGATTTTTAAAATTTGATGTCAAATGTGTGAGTGGGTCTCTTTATATGAGTTTATAAATTAATGACACAATATAATCTTTATAATTTATTTATATAATGATATAAAATAATTTTTTTCTTTATTTATTTTTATTTTATTTTAATTTATTCTTCTTATATTTTTTTCTTCTATTATTTAATTAAAATTCTTATATTAAAATAATTTTTTCAATATTAAAAATAATTAAATATTTATTTTTAAAATTATTTAATTTAACAAATTATTATAAATTAATCTAATTATGATTATTAATAGAACAATTTTTTCCTAACATATATTATTATAAATTAATCAAAATCATCTTTTAATCATTATTTTTTCAGACATAGATTAATTCTTAAAAATTTGTTAAATTAAATAATTTTAAAAAATAATTTTAAAAATAAATATTTAATTATTTTTAATAATGAAAAATTATTTTAATATAAGAATTGTAATTAAATAATAGAAGAAAAAAAAGATAAAAAGAATAAATTAAAATAAAATAAAAATAAAGAAAGAAAACAATTATTTTATATCATTATATAAATAAATTATAAAGATTATATTCTATCATTAAATTACAAATTCATATAAAGAGACTCGCTCACAAATTTGACATCAAATTTTGAAAACTCACTCGACACACACTTTCACCCTCTAGCGTGATCCTCACATCAAACATATAAATATATAAATATATCAAAATATATAAATATATTTGTATTTATATATTTTATATTTATATATTTACACGGATATATATTTATTTGTATATAAATAAAATTTATTTGTAAATTTTTATTAAAAAATTCTAACAGTTTAGTTGTTAGAGTATTAATATCTAACTCTAAGGTACTAGTTTTGAATCTTATTAGTAATAATTTTCTTAATCTGATTAAAAAAAATTGTTAATAAGAGAAATTATATATTTTTGTGGAAATTAGAGCAAGTAAATTGTTGTTATGGACTAAAACCCAAAAAGTAAAAAATAAAAAATATAAATAAAAGAAAAACTATATACTTTTGCATTTTTATTTTCAAATATTAGTTTTTTTATGAAATTATTTTTAATTAAAATAATTAAAGTGATATATATATATATATATATATATATATTTTTATATTTTTTTTATTTTAATTTATTAATATTATCAAATTTTAGCTTCATGATTAAAAAAATACCAATAATTTAAATTTTATTAATTCTATAATTTTATATAATTACTATTATAAATTTAATTCTCCAATAACTAATAATATTAACACATTTATTAAATTAAAATTCTTTATTTTAATTAATTATTTTGATTTTTTTAACAATTTTTTTTAAATAAAAACGATAAAACTTAAAATTAATTTCTAACTAAATCTTCACATATTTATGGTTAATAGTATATTATGTTATTATATTTAATTAAATTTTAAAATAAGTTCACTTAATCTTTACACTTTTATAAAAATACTAATATAAACTTAAAATATTTATCCAGTTACTAAATTATTTAAATATTAATATAAATTTGAAATATCAATTCAATAATTAAAATAATTTTAATTTTTTTATAAATACATTGAAATACATTTTTATTAACATAAAAGTAATATATATATATATATATATATATATATATATATATATATATATAAAGAGACTAAACTAATAATTAATTTAATCATTGATTATATATATAAAAGAGATTAAATTAATAATTATTTTAATGATTGAATCGGTAACTAATTTTATAATTAATTTTAATTTTTTTATTTACATACTATATTACTAAATTATTTAATAATAAGTTAATAAACTATTTTTTAAATTTTTTATAATGTTATTAAAATTTTTATCAATTATTTTAAATTATTAAGTAGATTTATATTTAATATATTATTAAAATATTTTTAAAAATTATTTATATAAATAAAAAATAGTTACTAATTTATATATTATTTGTTTAGTGATCGAAAATTTAGTCACTAAATCGAGTCACTATATATAAAAAGAGAAATCGAGTGACCGATTCGAGTTACTATTAGTAATTGAATTTTTCGGTCACTAATTTCAGTCATTATTAACCATTTTTCTAGTAGTGACCGAATCAGTGACTGATTTTGTGACCGAATCAGTGGCCGATTTCTGTGACTAAAATTTTAGTCACTAAATATAAAACGGAAATCAGTCACTGATTCAGTTACTATCAGTGACTGAATTTTTCGGTTACTAATTTCGGTCACTATTAACCATTTTTCTAGTAGTGGAACTCGCCTCCTCGATCAGACCTAACAGATTGGATAGGCATGCTGGTCTCTTTCTCAACCATTGCTTTAAATCTCTTGAACACCTCAAGCACCTCAGATTTCTCCTTCCAAAAATATACCCAGGTTTTTCTTGAAAATTATCTTTAAAAGAAATAAAATACCTTTTCCCACAGAAAGACTCAGGGGTAATTGGTCCACAAATATCTGTGTGAATCAATCCGAGTTATTCCTTTGCACGGTACTCAGCAATTCTCGGATGCTTCCCGAGCACACACTTTTCACAAAATTTCTTTTCAAATTCTATAGATGGGAGTCTTCGCACCATCTCTTTCTTTACCAACTCGGTCAGTCCGCCAAAATGCAAGTGGTCAAACCAAAAGTGCCACATCATTGCTTCACCCTTCACGTCAAGTTTCAAGCACCTCTCTTGAACTATCTTCAAGTCAAGCTTGTACATTCTGTTCTTCTTCATTTTTACTCGGGCAATCAAACAATTTGTCTTGTCCTTCAAGAATAGTACTCGGTCTTTCATCAGAATCGAGTAGCCTTTCTCCATCAGCTGACTCATGCTCAATATGTTGCTTTTGAGATCGGGTACATAGTACACGTCTCTGATTTCTCCAACTCGGTTATTCTTCTGCAGGTACCAGATTGTACATCGGCCTTTTACTGCCACCTTTGATGCATCTCCAAACGACAGTGTCCAACCTCAACTTTAGTAAGCTCCTTAAAAAGGTTCTCGTCCCCACTCAGCGTCCTTAGAGAGGAGGTTTGTTTCCTTCTTGCTCTCAGATCGACAATCATTCACGAAATGTCCCACCTTCCCATAATTATAACATTTGATCCTGAATAACAGTGCTTAGCAAAATGACCGTACTTTCCATATTTGAAGCACTCAACTCTAGAATTGCTTGACTGACCACCTCGGTCTCTACTGCCACGACCTCTACTTGTCCTCAGCCACGCCAGTTTTGTTGACTGACTTCTATCTCTACCACCTCGGTCTTGAGTGTTCTGAGCATAAGGACCCTTATTCTCCTTTAAGGTTGTCTTTGCTTGGAGTGTTTGATCAAGGGACTCCTCTTTCTTCTTCCTTCTCCGCTGCTCATGCGCTTCAAGCGACCCGACAAGCTCTTCCAATGAGAGCACCAACAAGTCCTTAGACTCCTCTATTGCCAAACGATATTTTCAAAATCATCGGTTAATGACCTTATGATTTTCTCCATCACTCAGCAAGTAGGCAGCGTCTCCATTTCTTCCGAGTTGATTTACCACGGTCTCAATACGGGAGACATACTCGGCAACCCCTTCGACCTCTTTCATCCTCATGTTTTCAAGCTCACCTCTGAGAGTTTGAAGTCTGACTTGCTTCACACAATTATCCCCTTTATATGTCTTCTCCAGAATATCTCATGCTTCTTTTGAAGATTTAGCATTTGCTATCTTGTCAAAGTCGAAATCATCAACAGTTCGGTATAACACGTACAAAGTCGTTTTGTCCTTTACCCGTGTTGCTTTTAACGCAGCAAGTTGGGCAGTCATCTGCTCTTCAATATTCTCTGGTTCTTGGTGCCCATTTTCAACCACATCCCATACTTCCTGGGAACTAAGGAGAGCCTTCATTTGCAGAC